AATCCGTGTGGCGTTACGAGCCCGTCACGAATTCTTGGGCCGAGGTTGCCCCCATGTCATTCGAACGGGCCTACTGCAAAACGGGCGTCTTGAATGGAAAACTCTATGTTGTGGGAGGTGTCACGCGAGGCCGCGGAGGATTGCTTCCCCTCCAATCGGCCGAAGCCTACGACCCGTGCACGGGCCTTTGGGCTGAAATCCCGAGCATGCCTTTCTCGAAAGCCCAGATTCTCCCGACAGCCTTTTTAGCAGACTTACTCAAACCGATTGCCACTGGCATGACTTCGTACAGAGGGAAACTGTACGTCCCACAGAGCTTATACTGCTGGCCGTTTTTCGTGGATGTGGGTGGGGAGGTTTACGACCCGGATTCGGGCTCGTGGGCCGAGATGCCTAATGGTATGGGTGAAGGCTGGCCCGCGAAGCAGGCGGGCACGAAATTGAGTGCGGTTGTTGAGGGGGAGCTTTATGCGCTTGACCCGTCTAGCTCGCTCGACAGTGCACAGATCAAAGTGTACGATAATGAGGAGGATTCTTGGAAGGCGATTGAAGGGGAAGTGCCTGTTCGTGACCTGGCGGACTCGGAGTCGCCGTATTTGCTGGCGGGCTTTTTGGGGAAGTTGCACGTGATCACGAGGGATGCTGACCGGAATATACTGGTCATGCAGGCTGATAGGCGGAACGGGCCTGATGTGGGCCCGTCTGACGATGGCTCGTTGTTGGGGAGTATGTGGAGGGTTGTCGCGAGGAAGAGAGGTTGTGGGTCGGCCGAGCTGGTTAGCTGTCAGATTCTTGATGTCTAGGTATGGTGAGGGACGAGGCCGGTATATTTTTTTACTTTATTATATATTTTTTTATTTTTGATATGATGTTATTACATGTGGTGATTGGAGAGTGGTTCGGGATTTTATGCGTTTATGATTGTCTATGGTGATTATGTGTATATAGTGGTAGTATCTTGTTTTGGAGGGAAGTTGGATATATGTGGATTTTGAGAATGGGGGAAAATGTGTTGATGGGTGTTCTTGGATGTTGAATTTTGTATTTATTGATGATTTTACGGTGGCAAATGTAGGGCTCCGATGACAAAAACACGGATATCACGTTGATATCTACATGCGTTTGATGTATTTTTTGTGTTGAGGATGAGAAAACTTCCTATCTGCATGCACTAGATGAATATCCATGAATTGGGCCTTCAAATAGAAATATATTTGGTGTGGTTGTTTGTATGCGGTTGGAGGAGGACTTAATTCTAGTATTTGTGGTGTTCGTGTGTTGTTTGTGTGTCTTTTCTTTAGTAGCCTTGTTGGTTGATTTTTTTTATTTTTTTTTGGTTGGTATTCTTTCCTGTTTGAAGCTTGATTCTCCTGTAGGTTCCCCTTTGGCTAGATGGCTGTTTGGCTTATTTTAGTTGCTTTCTAGTTGTAATTATATGTTTCTATGTATATAATCTATTGTTCCGAAAAAAGTATATTTAAAATATATCCCTCCAAATAAAAAATTAGAGAAAATTACAATTTTTCGTCCTTTATGTTACCTGAATGAGTTCTTTATTAGTTCTTTATTTGATTGTGTTTCATCTGTACCTACAGGGCCGTCTCCAGAAATTTGGAGGCCCCGGACAATTTTTTTTTTCGAAGTTCCCAATTTGAATTTGTGTGGTAAGCAGAGAAGAAAAAAACAACTAATTCAACAAGATAAGCTAAATAAATAAATAATTTTTCTTGTTTTTCATCAATCCTGAAATATATCTTGGAAATGATAAATTATCTTACAGAGATATTTAATAAATTACATTGAAGCAGTCACGAGGATATTAAGATAACAAATAAAAAATAATATCACTGAAACTAATTATTCTAATAAAAATTGTTCATACCAAACATCATAAGAAAACAAATGAAATATTTAGGTTTTCAAATTCACAAACGAATTACATATTTAACCATTAGCCTTTTTATTAATTAGTTTCTTCATTTGTGTAGTGGACCAAGTCCATATTTAGTCATTAGCCCTTAATTTTTTATTAATTAGCATCTTTATTTGTATAATGGACTAAGTCAATATTTAGTCATTACTCATTCATTAGGGAAATTTTCACCTTTCCTACTCGTTTTTTAAATATTTGCACCTTTACCATTCTTACCAATTAAATTGTGTTTATACCTAAAAATAAAAAGTAACTAAAGTCATGCTTAATATCAGTTACCCGATATAGAACAAACTTTCCATGTTTCTAGCCCATAATTTCATCTCTCAATCTTGGAAGGATATCAGTTAGATATCATATTTCAAACTTTCCATGTTTCATTATCACATCTCATAACTGTAGTGCTACTATTGAACAAGTGAAAGTATATGTGCAGTATATTTTGGTATTTATTCATGGAAATAAACTGCGTAGTTTTAATATATTTGGTTTATGTTCAGCAGTTGAGTATATTTTGGTATTTGTTCATGGAAATAAACTGCGTAGTTTTAATATATTTGGTTTATGTTGAGCAGTTGATTTTTATTATGCAGCATAAGTATATTTTTAGTTTATGTTCAGTATATTTTTAGATTTTTATTGTGCAGCATAAGTATATTTTTAGTTTATGTTCAGTATATTTTTAATTTATGAACCACATCAAACAAAGACTTGGATCCGGATCGGGCCTGGAGTTGCTGCTCCCGCACGGCGATCTTCTCAGACCGGTGAAGGCTGACGAGGAAGGCGGTTGAATCAACAAGGACAAAAGAAAAAAAAATCAAAAATATAATAAAAATTAACAAGAATTAAAACTGGAGCTTCAAGGGATTCTATCATTGAGCAGAAAAAGGCAAACAAGACAGAGGGAAGAGGGGATTGAAATGGCGCAAGCTGCAAACTAAGCCCCGACCACCACGAGGGCGGAGATCTGAGCCCGCCGCCAGGCCCGGCCTTCACTCCGTCAACCAGCCAAAAAAAAAAAAACTCAGAATCTCACCATGTTTAAATTACTCTTGTTTTGCTACCTAAAAGCCACCGACCACCACCACAGAGAAAATCAAACAAAGGTTGGAAACAGATAATACAGAAAGTATTTTCGAGAGTCTCGAGAGGATTTCATCTTCAACCTCGCCGCCATTGTTTATGTAGAAAACTTTATTCAAATTGAAGAATGAAAAAATTCACCATGAATTATTACCTGGTCTGTGAATATTTGTAGTGGCTATGGAGAGGAATAGAGCTATGGATCCGTGGTACAAGAAACGTTCGAACATGGAGGGAGAGAGAAGAAGAAAACGAATAGAGAGAGGGGGAGAGAGAGAATGTGATAATAATAGATCCCATTAAATCTGCTCTTACCATATTTAAAACTAATTATCTGTTGTTCAATAATCTGGTATGTTTGTAAATAAATATGATAGTTTTAGTTAATTTGCAAATAAATATATATGAGATGTAATTATGTAATATAAATGTTAATTTGTAGTGGATGGTGTAATTTCCTCCATTCATTAATTAGGCCACTTAATTTATTTAAATGGATCAAACCGTATTAACCAACAAAAAGAAAATGTGGCCCAAATAAATTGAGGCTCTAGGCAAGAACCTCTCTCCTCCTCCTAAAGCCGCCACTGTGTACCTATACAAAATAGGCTAAAATTGTGTGCTTCTCTTACATAAAATAGGTTACAATTTTGTCCTCGACTCAATGGAATAGTTTCAAGCACTGAAAATTTTCAAGTCATCCACGGGGCTGAAATTGCTGAGTTGGCAAAATCAAGTGTAGTTAGTTCAATGATCCCTTGTGTCACAATGCTAGCTTTCAGGCCCAACTTTTTCGCCCGATCATCGTCCCGTGAGGCCTAATCTTCTCGACTAGTCAGCCTCAATTTCCCCGATAAACCTTCGATAGCCCATACAAGTATAAATTGGCGACGGTGCAAGAAAATAACAAGTGACACCAATACATTTAAGGGCTCGCATCCGACCATCGGCTATAATTACTCAATTGCACAAATGAAATGTCATGGCTCGCACACACACGATACAACACTCCACTAAAGCTATCTTGTGCACGCAGGCATACTTTAGTACATTTTGGCCTTACTTATGTATCAAGGGACGCTGCACCCGACCTTACACTCCTATCTATTGTTTGATAAATCTAGTGTCGACCTTATAGACATTGGTCTTACACACACTACAAATACTTCACGTTTGCCAACAAATGCTTTGCTAGAATACTCGTACTAGCACCTTGCTCGCATGGTCTTTCGTTGCCCTCGTGTTTGGTGCTCTCACTCACTCTTCCGAGTTCGGTCACTGAACTGAGTTTCCTCCTCGGTATTCTGGCTCCCGAAGCTCTTGGCTCACTCCGGTATTCTGAACTGAGATTTATACTAGTAATGGAAATTTAAAATTCTAACAAAATACAATATAGTTTTTTCTTAAAAAAAATATTTCTTTAACCTTTTATACCATTTTAATTATAACATATAGTAAGACTAAGAAAAGTATCAAAAAATTCAAGTAAAGTTTGAATAATATTTTTTTAAATATTTCTTGAACATTTCGTATCATTTTAAATAATTTTTTAAAGCAGAGAAAAATCAGTTATAGATTAGTGAAATTCAATTGTTATTAGTATATTTTATTTGGATTTAAACATACTCAAATTATATAGGATTAAAGTTCACATAAAATATATTAATCACACATATCTAATGTTATAATTTGTTTTTAAAAATTTGGTTCTTCGGTTCAGTATTGGTATGATTCGGTTCGGTTCTCAGTACGAATATTTATGAAACTCCTAGAACCGTACCAATTATTTTTTTGATTTGATTGAGTTCAAAGAAAGTCAGATGGTGAACGATATTTTTTAATTCGAAGTGATTTCGATTCCATTTTTGGGACGGTTTGGAATTCTACATGATCAAGCCTAGTTTCAACTTTCAAGTACCACCATTAGTATTAGAGTTTATAAATTAGATCCTTCTCCTGCAACAGTGCAGTATAAATAGCACGGACAAGAGTTTCAAATTATGGCGCACAATTCCTGCGGGGAAGATGGAAATGCTGCGCATTGAATTCACACTCTTCACCTAGATTTGTCTGGTTTTCCCCTGCTCAGCGACTTCAGATTAATCCGATCCCACCAGAAGCTCTCTCTCAATCTCAAGTAACTTCTCATTCATTTGCTCTGACCTCGCGTATTTTTCTGGATTTTTTTTCTTCATTCTGTGAACGAGAGATTGTTTGATTTTCACGCTCTGTAAGTTTAGGAAAACGATACTTTTCAAGCATCTCGTGTTCTAGTGTAGCTTGCATAAACTCGTTCTGCCTCATTTTCCTGCTTGCTTGTTTTAGATCTATTCAAATCTAGAAATGGCGCACTTGTTCTCGATCAATCCTGTTGCTTGAATTTCTCTCTGAAGATCAACAGCTTAAGTAATCGTTTTTCCATCTGTAACGCATAGTTCCTTCGGATTTCTCGCCGTGAAGGTTTCAATTTTCTGTTTTCGGAGAGAATTTCAGTTGAAGAATGCGAAATTTACTGAATGAGTTCTAATTACGTGCTCGATGATCGATTGCAGAAGTTCCTCCATGGAAATCCAGCGCGAATCGAAAACTCCGAAGCTCAAGTCCTATGGCGTCGTCCCTCCCATCGACGTGTTAAATCTGACACACAGTCGCCGCCGCAGTCCACTATTCGACCCGTACGCATCCGATAGCTCCGGCTCCCCTTCCCCGCTGATGAAATACCTCTGCGCTGCCGATCCTAAGTCCGATTCCCCGCCGGCGTTCATCACGCCGGTGAAGGTCGAGGAGGATGTGATCGTCATGGACGGGATTCCGGTATCGAAGTCCAGTAAAGGCGGCGGCGAATCGAGAATGAGGTCGGCGCTGATGTCATCTAGCTCCTACAACAGCAATCTCTCAGGCGGAAGGTCCAACTCAACTCCATCGCCGTCGTCAGGCGGCGGGAGCGAGAGCATCAAACCGCACAAGAATAGGATATGTCGCTTTTGGGAGACTTGCGGGTCGTGCCAATTTGGATCCGAATGCCAGGTCACTTTTGATCCAACGGTTCTTATTTCGTTTTCAATATTAATCTACGCTGCTACCTGGTTTCACGACTCTTACTTCGTAGGAAAAATTAAAGCGCGTTGCGTAACAACGATGTGTGAATATGTTTACTGGAAAAAGAAAAAATAATTTAATGTGCAACACAGTTCGCGCACGGCAAGGAGGAGCTGCGGCGTCCCCCTCGCTCCTCCGGCAAGATCAAACTCGAGGTTGGAGACCTAATTAGCCTAACTATTTTAATTTGTTGTCCTGCCCTCAACAATTTTGCTTTAATTTGAATTCATGAATCCGAAATATGATTATGAATTCTGTATATGAAATACTTGATTTCTTGTATATTTCTGGATATTTTCGCAATTCTTCCCTTTGTTGTAGATTTTCAAATCGAGCAACAATTTACAGGGATCAACCCCACCATCTTATGGCAAAAACTGCTCTGCAATCTGCCAAGCCAAACCAGCACCTTTATCACCAGCAGAAGAAGCTTTTTCATCTCCATCAGCGCTACCAGCAATGGCCCTCTCCCCATCACCTGTTCAAGCCAAACAACATTCTGAAAGTACATTCCCCAGCAGCAAGATCCGGGTTACTAACCCGCCTCTATCGGACTGGAGTCCTGTAGATGATGGGATTGAGGTCACTTTGCCTTTTGCTGAGAATCCCTCAAAAGAAGATGTGAATGCTTACATAGAGAAAGTGCTTTCAGGTAAGAGTTCTAAAAAGAGATTGCCAGTGTTTGTGGAAATTTGCCCTGAATAGTGGTTTGATGACTTGGGTTTGGAATTTGTGGAGAGGTGACAGAATTTTTTTGGTGAACATGACTTGATTTGGTGTGCAGACTCAGAAAAGGGAGTGACTCTGTAAATGCTACTGATTTACATACTCTCCTGTGTTTTTTTTGTTCCTTTGTTTCTCAACTGATTCGATACACTGCTGTGTGTTTTTTTTTGGGTTTCTGGAACATAGCAAAGTTAATAAATGTTCCCTGAATGAGTAATTGCATAGTTATTGGTTATTTGCAATTGTGATATTTTGTCTACATGTGCATTCTTCTTCTAGGACCTTAATGCTAGTTTTGGAATTTGAGTCTAAAATGCTATATTGGCTTATGGTGAAAGTGTTGGGATTGAAACATTTGGATTTGGGAAAGAGTGGTTGTAAGGATTTCAAATGACTCAGTTAAAGACAGTTTTGAGATCGACCTAATTGACTCCAAACGTAGTTGGAATATGGAGCTTAAGGATTTGAAATTCATTACTTTAGAACAGAAGAGGTTTATCATCTTGAAATTGAATTTTAGTTTCTAACCCTCATGTCCATATAGAAGGATTTCCTCACTTGAGATATATCATTTTTTCAGATACTTAATAGGTAGTGCTTGTATTTTAGGTGAATCTTTTTGGGGGGAAAAGAGTTAGTTTATTTGGGATCAATATGTAATTGAATTGAGTGAACAATGTAAATGGCAGGGTTCGCTGAATTAAAGAGCTTGCTACTAACTGTACCTTGTATATGCGTCTAACAATCCAGACCCTTTTAACTGAGACTTGCATAAATTATAAACCCTCAAAATATGGGTGGGTAGATGAAAAAAGGGTCATCAACTCTTTGAAAACTACAACACAATTTGTAAAGGATGTGAAATTGGTGATGCTGACAGCACAATCTCATCTATATTTTAGTTTTGTCTTATCTGGAGATTGAACATATGCTGCAGTAGCCTAAATCAGTTTTTATCAGTGATGTTATTCTCTGTAGTTTTAGTTAGACGTTTGTAGATATATAAGTTTTGTTACAGTTTCTTGCACGTTCATTTTGACAAGTTCTATGAAGTTGCTTATGGTTCTATTTAAAAGGCTGAAGCCTTAACTTGAGCCGGATCCATCAAGGGAGTTAGATATTGGACAAGCATAAGTGTTGTGGCATTGTTTCAATCAGTTTTTGGTCTCCTGACTTTTGTATTTTGCAAAATATTATTTTTAATCTAAAGGGATAAAGCACCTTTCCTGAAAACCAAACATAAAGCAAATGCTAGTATGGTTCTTTTTTTGGTATTTTGACTCAGAGGAGACCACTTAGTGTTGAACTAGTTCAAGAATTTGTCCCTCGTCTTTCTTGCTGCTTCAAGCTTTTCTGTCAATCATAGGTGATTTATTTTCCTTAGTTTCCCTCTACTTGGATCATTATTCATAGCAAAATGAACCCAGCTATTGCATTCTTTCAAAGAGACTTCAAGCTTCAGTAAGGATCATCCTACACAATGCAGTCACAAACTCCTTTAATCAATGGCTATAATTTGAATATTGCTTGAGGTCGTGCTAAACTCCTGTCGTCTGTTCTTTATTTTTAATCATCTAAGATTGAAATCCATGGTCTCCATGAGTTAGATGCTGAGTTTGAGGCCGATTGATAATTGTGGGAGTGGAAAATCTCAATCTTTGGTGTGCAAAGTTAGCCTGGTTTATCTTAGCTCCTTCAGATTAGGACTCATTTTGACATGATTGGATACTATCNACATTGTTCATTCGTTTCGTCTTTTCTATCTTTTTCTACTCTTAATTTTTAATATAATTTTAAATTAAAATCCATCATTACTACGAATTTGTATAAAATCTTATTCATATATTTCTAAATAATAATAAAATTTATTGCATCACAGTTAATTAAATTTTTTTATCACATTATTTTATATAATAAAATTATTAATGCTTCCACTAAACATTTTATTTTCTTGAAAAAATATCCTTGTGGAACTTACATGCTACGTGTTCCAACACAATTAATGAAGTAACGATAAAATCTTTTATGGCGAACGAAAAGTTAAAAAGTTCAAAGCAATTTATGTTTATAAGACAAATTCAAGGTGTTCATTTTTTTTTTTCCTCCAAAACGATAAAAATATTATTAAACTCCAAAATAGTATATCCCAATTATCAACTAATAATGTAAATCATTTTTGCATTTAATACACCAAACAAAGAAGGCTCATACGAGGAGACCCATCAAGAACCAAATACATAAGATACAATATTTTTTTGGTGGGAGACAAAACCACTGTCCAAATGAGAGAAAGAAACACTCCACAAGGGTGACTCAAAGACATGGAGCATAAACATAATCTGAAACGTTGAAGGGGTTCCCTGTATCGATTGATTGTTTACTGATGCTCCACCTTGTAGATAAGTACAGTCAGGGTCTCATTTAGCTCTGCCGACATGCACTTAGAAGATAACACTTACCTAACCAATTCACATACCCAACACTTCCGTTTGACACTGTTGTTACCGCCATCCCTAGTCGTCGAGCCAAAAACAATCATCTAACAAGTATTCAACATTCAACTTCCACGGTGATTGACCAATCACCCCACCAGGAAAGGACCACAAATCTAGTCATAGTTCTGAAACTCTGAAACTCCAGAAGGCTAATGATTAGACAAGACAGAAATGATGACGGGGATCAATACCAAATCTCACCGGCCTCAAAGGCAATCGGAGATGGATATTAGTCCTGATCTCAAGACCGAGAAGTGAGGGGAGGGAAGCGGGCTAGAGATGAAAGAGAGGCAGAAGCTTTTTCTTCTTCTATGAAAAATGAGCTTTTTTCTTTTCTTCTGCGGCGTGGGAGATGAGAATATTTTTTTTTTTCTTTTTCTTTTGTAATTGGTAGCATTGAATTTTCTATATTAGTATAACCGACGTTGGGTTGGATAGGGTAAAAGTAAAAGAACATTTTCACAATCATTTTTCATATGGACAACACTTGGGAATAACTCAAATTGTTCTATCCTTATCGTTATATATCTAATCCCCCTCTTCCTCTTTTCTCTATTCTCTCATATAATTGTTTTTTTTTAAGTTCTGCTGTAAAGGTGCATGCGCACCGCGTGAGAAATTTTTTAATATATGTGAATGACTATTTTGTCCCTGATGTAATTGTATTATTACGATTGTACCATCAGAAGTTTTCCTATAAATAGAGACTTCAGTTATAATGAAAAACACACCGAAAAGAATACAGTTTCTCTATTCTCTATAGTATCAATTCTCTAGTTTTATAACACGTTATCAGCACGAGCGCTCTACCTGGTCAGAAAGGTAAGAATATATTAAATATGATACTATTTACATATTACCATTATTCTTGACAAGTTAGGCTCTGCCACAGTCAAGGATATGTGGTATGAATATATTAAATATGATACTATTTACATATTACCATTATTCTTGACAAGTTAGGCTCTGCCACAGTTAAGGATATGCGGTATGAATATTCTAAATATGACATTATTTAAACACTACCATTATTATTGACAAGTCAGGCTATGCCATAGTCAATAATATGTGGTAAGATGATAAATTTGCTTATGAAATACTAATTATGAATAATAACTTCAAGTTATATAAATAATATTATTACTTATACTTAACACCCACAAATTGGTTTATCCAGTAATGTGGCGTGAAATTTATAACTACTTATTCTTGTACCCACCGAAAGATTTATCGAGTAGTGTGGAGTGACACTTTTAGTTGTTTTGCTACTTATATTCATTAAATTGTTTACATAGTGGCTCGGAAAATTTTTAAGGTAATATACATGATTAATTAGAATTTTATAATCATGAGTTGATTAACTAACAAATATTATATCATTAATTTGTTTCCAACGGCTACTTAACGGCTATATTGCAACGGTTATTTATCAATCTATAAATATAACACTACATTTCATATATTAACACTCATTCCAAATACTAATATATATTCTCCTCAAACGAAAAGAAAAAAAATGTTTCATCTACTATTTATAATTACCATTATATTGTTTATTATATACGCTTTGGGAATTTTCACAATGATGTATCATACTCCTGAATTTATATTTTATGTATTAGGTCTTTGTATAATAAGTTTATTATTTGTTCTTCTGTACGTTTTGGAGAATTAATGATTGTATATGTAATTTTTCCGAATCTAAGCATTGGTGTTTTATTTTATAGTTATCATGGCAAATCTGGTCAAACTCGAATTTGAAGCTCTTGATATATCTGGAAAAAATTATGTTTCATGGACATTGGATGCCGAAATTCATTTGGCTGCAAGGGGGTTGGGAGAAACAATAATCTCCCCAAATAATTCATCAATACAAGATAAAGCTAAAGCAATGATATTTCTGAGACATCATTTGAATGAGGCATTGAAAAATGAATATTTAACTGTGAAAGATCCTGCAGATATCTGGAAAGCCTTGAAAGAAAGGTATGATCACCAGAAAACGGTGATTCTCCCCCGGGCTCGTTATGATTGGATGCACTTACGCTTCCAGGATTTCAAAACTGTAAACGAGTATAATTCAGCAATGTTTCGCATTTGCTCGGTATTGAAATTATGCGGGGAAAACATAACTGATTACGATATGCTGGAAAAAACGTTGTCCACATTCCACGTTTCAAATGTACTTTTGCAACAACAATACAGAGCAAAAGGCTTTGTGAAATATTCTGAATTAATTTCTTGCTTGTTGCATAGCGGAACAAAATAATGAGTTGTTGATGAAAAACCATGAATCTAGACCTACGGGATCTACTGCGGTCCCTAAAATAAATACTGTAATATCCAGACAAGGAACTGAAAATAAAAACAGCCAAAATCATGTGCGTGGATATACCTCAGGGCGTGGCCGTGGTCGTGGACGTGGCCGTGGATATGGTCCGGATCGCCAAACCGGCCGAGGCCACAAATTTCACCGAGGGTATAACTCGGGCCGAGGATACAATCGTGGACGAGGTCGCAACTATGTCCAAAATTATGAAAGGGGGAGAAATTTCCAACCAAAATTTGAACAGAACAATGTGACGGAGAATAATAATGAAAATGCATGTTATCGATGTGGAAGGAAGGGACATTGGGCACGAAATTGTCGTGCTCCGAGACACGTTGTTGATAATTATAACGATTCTCAGAAATTAAAAGATAAGAATATAGAAACCAATTTTATAGTTGGGGAATCTTCTGAAAATGATGCAGCACGTGTGGATGATGACTATAGCATCGATGACATATTGAAACTGAATTTTGCCGATGCAGTGTTTGAAGACAGAGATGGAAATGACCAGGAGAATAACTGATGATCATGTTTTTTATTGCTTTCTAAGTTTTGTTGTATTTGTGTGTGGACTACTTTTATCTGTATTTCGAATTTAATCAATAATAAATGTTGTTTTCTTTTAGATAATGGATCAGTCTCAAATCCAAAATGGAGATATATGTATTGCAGATTGTGCCACTACTCATACTATACTCAAGGACAGAAAATATTTCGTCAACTTGATATTAAATAAAGCAACAGTAAACACCATATCCGGAAGCGCAAAGATAATTGAGGGTTCTGGCAAAGCCATATTTTTTATGATGGGAGGTACCAAAATTTACGGTAAATGATGCATTATTCTCCCCAAAATCAACAAGAAACTTGTTGAGTTTTAAAGATATCCGAATGAACGGATACCACGTTGAAACAATGAATAAAGGGGGAGTTGAATATCTTTGCATTAACTCAAACAATGCGGGAAATAAATGTGTTTTGGAGAGGTTACCCGCTCTGTCCTCGGGTTTATATTACACCCAGATTAATATGATCGAGGCTTATGCTGCAACAAATTCAAAGATAAATAAAATGTTTAAACTTTGGCATGATCGACTTGGTCATCCTAGCTCGATAATGATGCGAAGAATTATTGAAAATTCTAGTGGGCATCCATTAAAAAATCAGAGGATATTGCAAACACATGAATTGAAATGTGCCTCATGTTCTCAAGGGAAATTGATAATGAGACCATCACATACTAAAGTCGGACATGAATCACCATTATTTTTTCAAAGGATTCATGGTGATATATGTGGACCTATTCATCCACCTTGTGGTCCATTCAGATATTTTGTGGTGTTAATTGATGCCTCTAGTAGATGGTCTCACGTGAGTTTGTTATCCACTAGAAATGTAGCATTTGCTAAATTTCTTGCCCAACTTATTAAATTAAGGGCTCAATTCCCAGATTATATTATCAAAAGAGTCAGACTTGACAATGCTGGAGAATTTACATCTCAAGCATTTAATGATTATTGTATGGCAGTGGGAATTGATGTTGAACATCCTGTGGCACATGTTTACACTCAAAATGGTATTGCAGAATCATTGATTAAACGACTGCAACTTATAGCTAGACCATTGATAATGAGGACAAAACTCCCCACTTCAGTATGGGGACATGCTATTCTGCATGCAAATGATCTAATTCGAATAAGACCAAATGCACACCATACATACTCGCCATTACAGTTGGCATATGGTCGAGAACCAAATATTACACATATAAGAGTTTTTGGTTGTGCAGTGTATGTACCAATTGCTCCGCCCCAACGTACAAAAATGGGGCCTCAAAGAAGGTTGGGAATATATGTTGGATATGATTCTCCATCAATAATCAAATATCTTGAGCCAAAAACGGGTGATGTTTTTACAGTTCGGTTTGATGATTGTCATTTTAATGAAGAGTTGTTCCCTTCCTTAGGTGGGAATGAAAAATCAATTGAGAGAAATATTAAATGGCAAACATCATCAATATCATATCTTGATCCTCCCACCAAACAAAGAGAGCAAGAAGTTCAAAAGATCATACATCTGCAGAATATTGCAAATCAATTGCCAGATGCATTTACGAATTTAAAAAGGGTGACCAAATCACATGTAGCAGCTGTAAATGCCCCTGCTCGAATTGAGATCCCAAAAGAAATGGCAAATGACGATATGCCAAATGAGTTAAAAACACGCTTAAAACGAGGAAGACCAGTTGGGTCTAAAGATAAGAATCCTCGAAAGAAAAGAGAATTTCCTGACTCGAGTTTGAAAACGAATCCAGATGATGGAAAAATTTTGGGACAAAATGAAAATATTGAAATGTCCATCAATTACGCAAACAATGGGGATCTTTGGAAGCGTGATGAGGTCATAAATATTGATGATGCATTCGCATATATGGTATCACAAGAAATTGACAAAGAGGTTGAGGATCCCGAACCAAAATCTATAATTGAATGTCAGAAAAGACATGATTGGGACAAGTGGAAAGGTGCTATTCAAGCCGAGTTAGATTCACTTAATAAACGAAAGGTTTTTGGACCTATTACCATTATACCAAAAGACATAAAACCTATTGGATACAGATGGGTTTTTGTCAGAAAAAGAAATGAAAAAAATGAGATCACAAGATATAAAGCTCGCCTTGTAGCACAGGGATTCTCCCAGAGGCCTGGGATCGATTATGATGAAACATATTCCTCTGCTATGGATGCATTTACCTTCAGATACTTGATCAGTTTAGCCATCCATGAAAACCTTGAGATGCGTCTCATGGATGTTGTGACTGCTTACTTATATGGATCGCTAGACGCTGACATTTATATGAAAATCCCAGAAGGGATTAGAGTACCCGAAGCACTAAAGTCCAAACATAAAGATTTATGTGCGATAAAACTGCAAAGATCATTGTATGGCTTGAAACAATCCGGGCGTATGTGGTATAATTGTTTGAGTGAACAATTACTAAAACGGGGATACATAAATAATCAAATATGCCCGTGTGTCTTTATTAAAAGATCACAAGATGGAGTTGTGATAATTGCTGTCTATGTCGATGATCTTAATATTATTGGGACTTCAAATGAAATCCAAGAAGCAGTCACATTACTGAAAGGCGAATTTGAAATGAAAGATCTCGGACAAACCAAATATTGTCTCGGCTTGCAAATAGAACGAGTCCAAAATGGAATATTTGTCCATCAATCTAATTACACTAAAAAAATATTGAAACGATTCAATATGGACAAGGCTAATCCTCTTTGTACCCCAATGGTCAATCGAACGTTAGATGTTGAAAAGGATCCATTCCGACCTTGTGAAAAAGGATGAAGAATTACTTGGTCCTGAAATACCATATATGAGTGCAATAGGAGCTCTTATGTATCTTGCAAATTGCACCCGACCAGATATATCTTTTGCTACCAACTTGTTAGCAAGATATAACTCGTCACCTACGAGGAGACACTGGAATGGAATCAAGCACATATTCCGTTATCTCCAAGGGACAATCGATTTGGGATTGTTTTACTCCAACGATAAAAAACATGAACTGATCGGTTTTGCAGATGCAGGATATCTATCAGACCCCCATAAAGCGAGATCTCAAACTAGCTACGTTTTCACGATTGGTGGAACTGCATTTTCTTGGCGTTCCCAGAAACAAACATTAGTCGCGACATCTTTAAACTATGCTGAGATCATTGCACTTCATGAAGCAACTAGGGAGAGCATCTGGCTCAGAAACATGACTCAACATATTCAACAAGCCAGTGGACTATCGAATAATACTGACCCGACGGTGATATTCGAAGACAATGCAACATGTGTCGCTCAAACCAAAGAGGGATACATTAAGAGTGACAAAACTAAACATATCCCGCCAAAGTTCTTCTCATATGCTCAGGAGCTTGAAAGAAACAAACAAATCAAAGTTCAATACATTCGATCAAGCGATAATGCAGCAGATTTATTTACGAAAGCGCTTCCGACTACAATGTTTCGAAAGCATGTGCACAATATTGGAATGAGACATCTTCGGGATTTGCATAGATAATAACTCGAGGGGGAGTATGTGCGGCTGTACTCTTTTTTCCTTATCTCGGTTTTTTCCCACAGGGTTTTTCCAGATAAGATTTTTACCGAGGCAGCATAAACGCACAGTAAATAGTGGTAATTTCAAAGGGAATACTCCACTAAAATAGTCATTCAAGGGGGAGTGTTGTAAAGGTGTATGCGCACCGCGTGAGGAATTTTTTAATATATGTGAATGACTATTTTGTCCCTGATATAATTGTATTATTACGATTGTACCATCAGAAGTTTTTCTATAAATAGGGACTTCAGTTATAATGAAAAACACACCGAAAAAAATACAGTTTATCTATTCTCTATAGTATCAATTCTCTAGTTTTATAACAAGTTCTTATTTTTTTATTTTTTTTTTTAGTTCTTATTTATTTTAACATGTGGATAATGTACGCTTCGGATCAGAAAATCCTCAGAAATGTCGCTCGCAGCACTCGTTTCCCCCCTTCCTTCTTCAACCTCTTCCTTTTCTTCTCCCCGTTTCAAAAAATCATATTCTCTCTTACCACCCAATGCAACCTCACAGCAAATCTCCCTGGACTCCTCCACATCCAGAGACAACCCATCTTCTCCCCAACCATTCAACAAAACCGGCGCCATCGTCGTCGGCGCCGGCTTGGCCGGCTTAGCCGCCGCCATCCGTCTCCAAACCGAGAACATCCCTTTCGTCCTCCTCGAGGCCTCCGACGCCGTCGGCGGCCGCGTCCGCACGGACTTTGTCGACGGCTTCACCCTCGACCGCGGCTTCCAGATCTTCATCACGGCCTACCCCGAGGCCCAGAAGCTTCTCGACTACACCGCGCTCGACCTCCAGAGGTTCTACTCCGGCGCCAGAGTTTTCTACGGCGGCGGTTTCCACACCGTGGCGGATCCCCTGCGTCACTTCCCCGATGCTCTCCAGTCCCTAACAAACCCCATCGGCACCGTCGCCGACAAGCTCCTGATTGGGCTGACCCGAATTAAGCTCCTGACCCGGTCAGACCACGAGATCCTGACTTGTCCCGACGAGGTCACAACGATTGAGCTCCTGAGGAGAATCGGTTTCTCAGATTCAATACTGGACCGATTTTTCCGTCCGTTTTTCGGCGGGATTTTCTTCGACCCGGATCTCAACACCACCTCCCGACTCTTCAATTTCGTCTTCAAATGCCTTGCCCTAGGAGACAACACCCTCCCGAGGAACGGCATATCCGCAATTCCCGAACAATTGGCGGCCAAACTGAACCCTAGCTCGATCAGGCTAAACTCGAAGGTAGCCTCGATCGATTTGGACTCCATCGTAAAATTAGAAAGCGGAGAAAGTTTCAAGGGCGATCACGGAGTGATACTGGCCATGGAAGAATTCGAAGCCAATAAAATTTTGTCAGGAATAAAAATGAACACGGGCCGGGCCAAGGGCCCAATCCGTAGCACGGTATGCCTTTACTTCTCAATGGATTCCAATAAGGTGCCAGTGAACGACCCGGTTTTGTTCCTAAACGGGTCGGGTCATGGGATCGTGAACAACATGTTCTTCGCGACTAATGTGACCCCCACTTACGCCCCGCCAGGTAAAGGCTTGGTGTCGATTTCTCTAATCGGGACTTATGATAGTGTGGAAGATGGTGAGTTGGTTAGACGGGTTGTGGACGAGCTTTCGGGTTGGTTCGGGTCGGGTTTTGTCGGGTCGTGGAGGCACCTGACGACGTATCGGGTCGGGTATGCCCAGCCCAACCAGTGCCCGCCCACGGACCTAATGAAGGAACCGAAAGCGGGTCGGAATTTGTACCTGTGTGGGGATTATATGACGAGCTCGACTTTCGATGGGGCGTTGGTTTCGGGAAGGAGGGCCGCCGAAGCTCTGTTGAGAGATCGGGTCGCGGTTAAGTTATGATTGTTTTGGAGTTACTTTTCGGGTTGTGATTTTTTTTTGGATATTTTTTTCGGGGTGTGATGACATTGTGAAGCAAGGATGATTCTTTTGTATGTAGTCTTGTTTGTGTTTGAATAAGCTGCATTGTTTGTTAACTGAGTGGAGTCTAAATCATGTTTGGATACGTTGAGCTTTGTATGGTGTGGTTAACTGAGTAGTAGGGAGTTCATGCGGTTGTTTCTCTCAATGAAAAAAGATGGCAAAATAACTTGAAGGTGAAAGAATAGTGTGCGGTTGGACGGATATATACATTACTTAAAACAAAAAACATATATTTCAATGGAAAAAATATAAATTATTTTCAATTGCAATACATTGTTATGAATTATATTATATCATTATTTGATATAGAAATAGTACAATACTTGTGGTAAATTGGTAGCGGTGAAAGATAGGTTTAGTTGCAATTTAAATCACGAATTTTAGAGCATGTTTGTTTATAAAAAATTTTAGTTTTCTTTGAATATTTTGATTGCTTTGGTTAATTTTGAAAAAGGTAGTATGATTAGTTGTTAGTGGGTATATTAAAATAATATTTAAAATAAAATAATTAAAATTGATTTGATATAAAAGTAAGAGAGAGAGAGAGAAATTTTAAGTGATGGTTAGTTAAAATAATGTGAGTGGATGAATAGTGAATTAAGGTTGATGTGGTGTGTATGAATGATTGATTGATATTATTTAATTATATTGATAATTTTGATGATAGTGGGGTTGAGTTAAAGTTGAGTTAAAAAAAATAATTGAGTTAAAATGTTGTAATTTTTTTGAAAAATTCCATAAACAAACATGCTCTTAGTTTTTAGCAATTCAACCCACTTTTAGCTAATTGTAAAATGAGACACAAAACGTGCTACTTTGCTCCAATCTGAAACCCAAAATTGTTCTGTGCCCAATTTTCAGTGGATTTTGGCCAACGTGTTTGGCAAAAAATTATGATGTGAATGATAGTATACTAAAAATGCCCTGTAGCTTTAACTTAGATACATAAAGGATGCATTTCAAGGACCGGAGAGAATCCTTTGTTTTGTTGACAATGATGAAGACTTCATAATTTGTTGACAATGATGAAGACTTCATAATTTTTTATTTTTTATTTTTTATCAGTATATATAAATTTATAAATTAAAACTGAAGGTAAAGAGACTGTCGCACGACATACAAAAGCGTAGTGGACAGTTACATGCTCGGCTCCCTATTCGTGGATCAAATGTCTAAGAGGTCAACCATAGGTTGGTTGCTCACTCAAGTCTCAAAACAAAATACACTTAGCACGTAGCGAATGCGATGTCCATCATGGGCGTGGGCGACGTGTGCATCGCCGGCGCAGTGCCTGACGCGGGCGGTCAGCTAGGTGCGCGTCGCATGCGCGGTGATTGTCTTGGGTGCGGTAGGATGCTTCTTGCAGGCGCGAAACTTTGGAAGGCAGTAGGCTCTGATGGACGTGATAGGTCCTCGCTTGCGCAAACCAAACGCGATGCTCTGCTTGTCTAGCATGCTCCACAGGTCTTTTTTTCGAGGTCGGTAAGCACATTCGGGTACAATGCGAATATGGTTCTGTAGACATGAGTCTGGATCTTTCGAATGACGAGCTCTGGGGGCTGAATTTCATTAACATGCTCTGAGCATTCCAAATAAAGTAACAGATGTCGCAAGCGCGTTCTTCATTTTGGTTTGCCAACTTGCCCCTCATGCCTATTTTTCGTCCATTTCAATACGCCTTTAAGTGTCAACGGTAACCTTGGAAACTTAGTCCCCGAGCTAACCACTCGAGGTTCTGCCAATTAACTTTGTACCCCGAGCTTATCTGCTCGGGGTTCTGCCACTTAATAAATAATACATAAACTTTAAACTTAGATTTGCGCTAAACTTGGCAAAAAGGAGCTCAACTTTATTGATGAACGAGACGGACTGTCTAAATAAACTTATAAGTAAACTGAGTAGGTAAAAGCGAACTATCAAAACTTTAAGCATAATACTTCTTGAGTGTGTCACATTCCATGTTCTAGGCAGAAGCTTCCTCTAAGAATCCCTCAGCTCGTAGGCGCCTCCTGCAAATTCCTCTCAACCACGTACGACCCTTTACAATTAGACTCGAGTTTGCCGACGTGCTTTAATGCATCCGCCTGTAAAAATTCAGTTAATATAAATTTTGTAACATTAAATTTTGAAACATTTTTGAAAAATATTTATACTATATATTATGATAAATTATGAAAAATAAAATATTGATGTAATTACAAAATTTGAAAAGTTTATAATGTTACAATAATATAAACTACAATCTTTTTAAATTAAATGTTGGTCTATAATATTTGTCACAAATTTTCAATTTTACCATCACTTATTTAGGAATCGAAATAATATATTGTAATAAAGTATGACATGAGTAAGGGAAGATAGACAAAAGTACTTCGTCTATGGAGTTCCTTAATGATAAAAGAACTATGTAGTTCCTCCATTGGCTCTTGCCCGTAGCCAAGCAGTACTTCGTCCTCGCAGCTGACCGGACTCGGGCTCAAGCTGTTGCAGGTGGTTATACCTCCGAGTTCGATGATGATGCCCTATACCAGGGTATACCTATTCCTGACGGCTAGGAAGACAACTCTAAAGAGCCCCGTGACCATCCTTAGTGGAAACCAGCATTCGTCGAGGCCTTGAAGATGGTTGACCTCCACTTTAATCAAGAGAAGCCCACCGAGGAACAGACCTCCTCAACTCCTCCTTAGACCATTAAGTCTTTTTGTCTTTTGAACTTTTGTAAGAGTAGTTATTGAAATTTTCTTAAATGACTTATCTCTTTATGAAATGAAGAGACCTTTTTCATCTTTTACTCTGTCTTTACTTATGAACTGCATGTTTTACTTTTTTGAAAACATCGCTGAGTTTTATAATCGGCCTTCAAGCTGTTTGCTCGTATCTTAGTAATTTAAACACTTAGGCACACGAGCTACTTGCTTTGGGTCCTGCCATTTGAAAGACTTTAACACTTAATCATTCGGGCCCCTGAACTACCTACTCTAGGCTCTTGCCTACTTTAAATAATTTAACCTCTTTGGCACCCGAACTACCTGCTCCGGGCTCTCGCTACTTGAGGCAATACACCACTTTTAAGTACATCGCAAACTTAAGGCCCTCGAGCTACCTGCTCGAGGTTCTACCTTCTTTAATAAATGCTTGGCTCTCAAGCTAAACACTCAAGGTTTTGCCAGCTATCCTTGGACAGATACTTGGCCCTCGCGCTAACCACTATAGGTTCTGCCAATTAACTTTAGACCCTCGAGCTCACCTACTTATGGTTATAACCCTTCACACATATATTTTCCCTCGAGCTAACCACTCGAGGTTCTTCCATATGTCCCTGGACCCCTGAGCTCATATGCTCAGTGTTCTACCCCTTAACCTTGGAAACTTGGCCCATCGAGCTAATAACTTGAGGTTATGCTAATTAACTTTGGACCCCAAGCTTATCTGCTCGTGGTTCTGCCACTTAATAAATACTTAAAATTAAAAGTTAGATTTGCACCAAACTTGGCAAAAAGGAGCTGAACTTTATTGATGAACGAGACGAATTGTCTGAATAAAAAGTAAACCGAGTAGGTAAAAGCGAACTATCCAAACTTTAAGCATAATCTTTATTGAGATGTGCCACATTCCATGTTCTAGGCAGAAGCTTCCCCAAAGAATCCCTCAGCTCGTAGGCGCCTCTTGCAAATTCCTCTCACCCAGTACGACTCTTCCCAATTAGACTCGAGCTTGCCGACGTGCTTTAATGCATTTGCCTGTAAAATTTAAAAAATATTTATACTATATATTATGATAAATTATAAAATATAAAATATTGATGTAATTACAAATTCGAAAAATTTATAACGTTAAAATAATATACACTACATTCAGTTTTACCATCAATTATTAAGGAATCGAAATAATATATTGTAATAAAGTATGAGTAAGGAAAGATAGACAAAAGTACTTTTGTGAGTATTATTTATTGATAAGTTTGCATATGCTAAATTTTCATGTTTCTTAATTCTGAACAAGAAATCTAAAACGACAATAATTTTATAATGCGTGAAATAAACATATAAATTATATATTAAACTAATATAAATTATAAATAAAATTAAATAAATTAATAATAATATTCAAAACTATTTTATAACAATCAATATTATTTTTTAATTCTTATTATTTATTATTATTACCAGTGACTGGATGCGTATATTTATTAAATGTTTTCAACAACCTAATTTAAACTAGAAATTCTTCACCCTTATTTATTAGTATTATTTTTATTTTTTATGTGCAAAGTTCACTGTCACATTATTACTTTTAATCCCTAATTTTGGAAAGGGAGCGCGCCAGGGTCCAAAATTCCACAAAATTCCACAAATATTTCAAAAACTCCAAAACCACTTTCCGATAACCAAACCTTCAGAGTCACACACTCCCCTCTCCCTCTCTCTCATCCCACCTGCTTTACACTTGATAATGGCGGAACCTGAGCCTACCAAACAACAATCTGACGGCGGCGTGCCGCTGGCGGGAACGGAGGGGAGGCAATGGAAGCTCTACGAGGCGTACGACGAGCTGCACGGCCTGGCGCAGGAATTCTCGACGCCGTTCGACGCGCCGGCGGTGCTGGTGGTCGGCCACCAGACCGACGGGAAGAGCGCCCTCGTGGAGGCGCTGATGGGCTTCCAGTTCAACCACGTTGGCGGCGGCACCAAGACCCGCCGCCCGATTACCCTTCACATGAAGTTCAACCCCGAGTGTGACGCCCCTCTATGCCACCTGCTGTCGGAGTCCGACCCGTCGGTCCCACAGGAAAAGTCACTCCAGGAAATCCAGGTTCTATTTGCAAATTGCACGCTTTCTAATTTTCGTTCGCCTGTCGATTGGTAGTTCTAAAAGGATGGACAGTAAGTGTTGTATTCTGGAGACAAGATTGCATAAAGAACGCTGTGGCATCTGAAAAAATGTTCTGAGGGTTAAATTTATTTTGTCATTATGAACTGATCTGTAATGACTTGTACATCTCCTCATTTTCATCCTATAATTTTGTTCCTAGTCAAGGAAATCAAGAATGTAATGGTTCCAAGAAGTACAAAATGTTTCATGAAATGATAGTATATGTAACTATTAAACCCATATCTTAAGTTGCATTTAGGCTTTTAGCAATTGGCATTATCGACTGGATGATTCTGTAAATACTATTTGTTTATGGCTGCAATGATTCACACTCAACAAGCTTATGCATTTCACTGTGTTTCTTCTCTATACCGTTTGTTGCTGCAGTTGTGCGTTCATATAATTGCCATTTTACATGCTAGCTTCTGAATTATGTAACATTGAGCTCCGTGAAATGCCTTCATGAGAGCTTAGCTCACTTGGAGGCCCTTTCTTATGTTGCTCATCAGAATAATTTATGATCTGTGAAACCTTGTGAGTGAGATCATCCTTACGACAGTGGCTCACATTCTTCAATTCATGTAGGCTTATATTGAATCTGAAAATATGAGGCTGGAGAGAGAATCTTGTCAATTTTCGTCAAAAGAAATAATAATCAGAATTGAGTACAAGCACTGTCCTAACCTCACCATAATTGACACACCTGGACTTGTTGCCCCTGCTCCAGCTAGAAAAAACCGTGCCCTGCAGGTAAATTACCAATTTCAGTTAAGGTTATTTTTTCCATCACAAGTGCACTTAATGTGTCTTGGCTGAATGTCGATAAGCTACATGTGGCAGATGCAAGCTCGTGCTGTGGAGTCATTAGTGCGGGCTAAAATGCAGCATAAGGAATTCATCATATTATGCCTTGAAGATTGCAGTGACTGGAGTAACGCCACAACTAGGAGGGTAGTGATGCAAGTATGACTCTCTCTCTCTCTCTCTCTTCCCTACCAGTTGTTAATTCCAAGAAACAGTCATGCATGCAAATCCATGTCGAGATGTCCGTGCATCTATAAAATATAATTTTTGATGTAAAATTTACTCTGCTATGATTGGGGATTTTTGTGGGATGACGTGGAATTTCTATCTAGTTTATCTTCAACACAGCTGCAATTTATAATTTTGGTGTGAAAGGGAGGACCTTCACCTTGACTTACCCCCTGGAACAGTTCAGTTAGTTCTGGAAATCACCTGTAGGTCTGCTTGTAACCGTTTTGCTGGCCTTTGTTGAATTCATGGGTCTTAGCAGCTGTAGTAACTCTCTTTTCTGAACAAACACAATGATCTAACGAACACTTTGTTTGTGACATGCCAATCAAATTCATATTGAGCATGTTTTGAAGTCAAATATTGTTGCTAGTTTTTTGCCTTGTCTGGTGTCTGGTGAGACGTCGAGAAGGGCATGTAATCCTCTTGAGTAGCTTTACTTGTGGAATGTGGATTCTGTTTGTGGAGGCAAAACTTCAGGGTTGAGAATGTTGGCTACATCTTACATCCTTAGAAACATATGTGGAATGACCCATTTTTATCCACTCATATATCGGAGATCTCATTGAACTTGATTGATATTGTGGAAACTACATTTTAAAAGATACAGATTTCTAGATCTTCTTGACTGCAATCTCATGTCCTAATTGAAAGCTTTCAAAGATTTGACTGTTTATCAATTTCATTTTGTGCTTCCATATAGATTGATCCTGAACTTTCGAGGACCATAATCGTCTCAACAAAGCTAGATACAAAGATTCCTCAGTTTGCACGAGCTTCAGATGTAGAGGTTTTTCTGTCACCGCCTTCAAGCACACTTGATGGATTTATGTTAGGTGATTCACCTTTTTTCACTTCTGTCCCTTCTGGAAGAGTTGGATCTGAACATGAATCAGTGTACAGATCTAATGACGAGTTCAAACAGGTTAGATTTTTATTTCCCCCTTTTTGAGCTGCATTATTTTCCATAACCAGTTTCTCAAGAGAGAAGCATTGCTTAAGACTACTGTGGTATCTGATGTATAATCTAACACTAGTGACATGAGTAATTGAACTAGTATGACTTATTTCTCTTTTAAAATTGTGAACGTAACCTATCACAGATGACAGAACTACATCATTCACATGGTTGGTAGACATGATTTTCTTTTCTAATGATGTTTTCATGAATCCTTTTGCTCTTGCTTCACAACTTCCTTTTATTACTCGCTTTTCTTCTTTCTTTCTTAGCCTCTCTATCTCTGTGTGTGTGTGTCTGTTTCTCCTTTGCTTTGCATTCATTTAATCCTCCTAATAGCGTTGCTCTCTCTCTCTCTCTCCCTGGATCATTTGGTTAACGCTATCTGAGCCATGTTCGGGATTAATTCTTTTTAACAAAGTGACATTGCCCTTATGGTGCTATCCATGCCAACATTCAAAACGGACTAACAGCATGATTACATTGAATCCTCTTATGTCAGGCTGTAGCATTACGAGAGATGGAAGATATAGCAGCTCTAGAAGAGAAGTTAGGTAGATCACTTTCACAACAGGAGAGGAGCCGAATAGGTGTCAGCAGGCTTAAGATATTCCTGGAAGAGTTGTTGCGGAAAAGGTTCTTCTAAGTTGTATTTTACTGTAATGTTGTATCCCTTCTGTGATTGCTCATTAATGCAATGGCTGGATGTTTGTGATATATTTCTTCTCAAAGGTATATGGACAGTGTACCAATGATCATTCCGCTTCTTGAAAAAGAGTATCGTACAACAACAAGGAAGTTGAATGAAATAAATCTGGAACTCAGGTTCGAGATGTTCTTTTGTCGTTAAGTCGACGAGTTGCTCGGTACTTCCGTAGTTCCGTGTTCTCAGTTGACATGTGTTTTGGTCTTTCTCGCAGCACTTTAGATGAAGCAAAGATGAAAGAGAAAGGAAGAGTTTTCAATGATCTGTTCTTGACCAAGGTCAATATTTATCTTGTGGTTTTAATGGCTAGGATGATTTTTTCAGACTATGGTTACTTAAATTATATGGCATAATACTGGTATGTTTGTCCTGTTAATAAATTTCTAGGCAGTCACCAAATCCTGTTGTTTTTAGTCTCATTGGGTTAAAGACTGTCAACTTGTTTGCTTAAGCAACCAATCTGATTAAGGTTATTGATGTTCCTCAGTTATCCCTTCTGTTGAAAGGGACTGTTGTGGCACCTCCAGAAAAATTCGGTAAGTTCTTGCCACCCAACAGTTTTAACACATGAAAGACTAATTTTATTACTTACAGACTACAGTTCAAGTAGATTACTCACAGTTGTTTAGATTCTAGTTAGACCATTTCCATTTGCTTTTTACATCTCATCGAAGAATTCATTGTTGCAGTTTCCATTTCGAGGGTTAAGATGCCGCTTTAAACTCTTTTGAATTAAGTATGAGCACATTTGCCACCTCTCTTCATGATCTGGCTCTACCTACGTACTAATGCAGGATCATATACTCTTTGCAGGGGAAACACTGCAAGATGAGAGGGTTAATGGCGGTACATTTATTGGTACTGATGGTCTTCAATTTCCACAGAAGTTAATACCTGTATGTTCCTGTTTCTGAGCATGTTACGTGGTGAAAAAGTTGAAGCATTTGATGCTCACATTTATATATTGTTTCTCAAACCATGTTTCTATGAAATATTAGTCAGCATATTCAGTTTAAACTAAAAAATGTATCACCGTCCTACTTCCCGACCACCTTATAAATTTCCTTTCATTTTCTAGCTTCTGATAAATTCATGATAACATTGTGCAGTTTAGATAGTGGCAATTATCCTTGTGTAACTTATCTAGTTTTATTCAGGTTTCTTATTGTTCTTGTTTTCTCTGTTGTGTAGAATGCAGGCATGCGCCTTTATGGAGGTGCTCAGTATCATCGTGCAATGGCTGAGTTCCGTTTTGTTGTCGGGGGAATCAAATGCCCTCCCATTACACGTGAAGAAATTGTAAATGCGTGTGGAGTTGAGGACATCCATGATGGAACAAACTACTCCAGGTATTACTGAGATTTTTATTCTTAATCCATAATCTAAATTTAAGTATATGGCAATTCTTGCAATTTACTTTACTTACATTTCATATTTTGAATTCAGGACTTCATGTGTAATTGCTGTTGCAAAGGCTCGTGACACTTTTGAGCCTTTTCTACATCAGGTGACAGGCTGGATGTTCCTATTACCTTTCAGCCTTCTATTTCTTATATATTAACCTAAATGTGGCTCATCCTAATATGATAAAACTGGAAATTCAGAAGCTGGAACCTAGTTTAGTATTTGGATTCTAAAAGAGAACCGGATTAGATTTGATGTACTTACATCCCGATGTATACTTTACATCCCACAGCTTCATCAACTAATAACATGACAAAAATGCCTAGTATTTATTGCAGCCTGTTGGCTATAATGCTGGCTGTCTATGGTTTACCAGTGATGGGGGTTATTATGAGGGACTGAAAGGGATTGGACATTTCATATTTGTATTTTTCCCTAATTTCAGCCTTTTCCTTACTCCGAACAATTTGTTAGTGTCAAATGTTCCTACTTGGTCTGTACCGTAGGTATTTTGTCAGAATTATCAAGTGCAGGACATTTGTCAAAATCGTATTATGGTTAAATATACAATCAGTTATAATATCACTGAACAATTATTGGTTCACTCTGATTGGCAATTGGGTCAAGCTTTGAGCTCATCATCTTAGATTAGTTGTTCTAAATGCAATTGTGCATGTTCAGAATATTTCACCACTGATGTATCTAAGTTTATCTCAGTTTCTTGTTTTTGTGATGCCAGTTGGGTGCCAGACTGCTTCATATTCTAAAGAGACTGCTCCCAATCTCTGTTTACCTTCTCCAGGTAAAATATTCTATTGACTAGTCACCTTTTGAACTCAATTCGGTTGGATTATGGTTGTAAAAAGTATTTGGTCCAGCACTTATGATCCAATGATATTTATTACTCGAGCAAACTGATGTGTTTTGTGATATCACTGATTAATGTTATTTATGCTTTTGAGTTATTGTCAACAGAAAGATGGTGAATATCTTAGTGGCCATGACGTTTTTCTGAAGCGCGTCACCTCTGCCTTTAACAACTTTGCTGAATCAACTGAACGGTCATGCCGTGAAAAGTTAGTATAACTGCCTTTAATTTTTCTGACCTCTTTGATGCACATTGTTTTTCTGGTAATCATTTTGTATATTCTTTACTCTCTTTTATCAGCAATTCAACTCGTTCATTGGGTATGTAAAATTTTAAGGACTAGCTGATTAATTGTTTACTCCAACATAAGAAGCTGCCCTTGTACCTTGGCTTTGAAGTGCTGCTGTCGTGAAAGTGACAGTGGGTTATTGGAATTTGTTTTACAGAATTACAAGCAAGAAAAATGAAGATACCATGCTATTTATGATTTTGAAAACTTTTAATCCCTGAAGTTCAAGCAATCATGCTGAAGAAGAACTAAATGAATCTCTTTCTTTTTGTTTTTCACGTTTGCTTGGTTTCATATGAAGNTTTTTGTGGTGTCCTGATTAAGTTTGTATATGCTAAACTTTTCCTACTTCTCTATAAATACCTGAATGTAGTTAATCCTTTTTTTTCCTTTTCATGTTTTTTTTAAGATAATCAAAGAGTTGAGTTAATTTACCAAACTATTCGATCTTTTCCAACATATTGTCCTATCCTTAAAGGCTGAAATTGGCAGAACTTTCCAACCTTCACTATTTAATCAATGAATGTATTTTTCTCTTAGTAGCATTCTTGAAAACAGATTGTTCTTGGTTTCTTACTCTGTTGATGCTTCTGACACTCTTATGGCTTCTATTTGATCTCACAATTTTCTGGCAATTGAACTTTCAGGTGTATGGAGGATTTAGTGAGCACTACTCGCTATGTTTCGTGGTCTCTTCACAATAAGGTAGGTAAAGAGCAATAATTAATTCATTTTTATATTTTCATTTAGTTGGTCCCTTTCCCAAGCATTTCCGGGAATCACAAATATGTATCAGAAAACAATATGGTAATTTTATCTATTTATTGGCCATGGATAAATAGAATAATACAGTGTGTGCCCAATTTATCTGTGAAAAGAAGGGTACCTGATTATGTGATGATCTTTTTCTTTCTTTTTCTATGACCATGCATTACATTGCAGAACAGAGCTGGATTACGCCAGTTCTTGGATTCATTTGCTGGGTCAGAACACTCTACAGTTGGATTTAACTCGTCCAGTCTTTCTCCAGAGTTGTCGTCAGGTCTTGCAGGCAACGAGAAGCAAGAGGTTAAGTCAAGGGTAGAAGTAAAACTCAATAACTTATCTTCAGGTAATGAATCAACTGGCAGTACTTCAACAACCGAGACAAGGCTAGCCGATCTTTTGGATAGCACATTGTGGAATAGGAGGCTGGCACCTTCCTCTGAAAGGATCGTTTATGCTCTGGTTCAACAAATATTTCATGGGATTCGAGAGTATTTCCTTGCATCCACNCTAAAGATCTTTGATAATTAAATATCCCCTTGACAATTATATATCTTTTTTATGAGTTCATGTTCACTAAAAGATAATAGTCTTTTTTCTATTTCTAATAAATTAGGTTTCATAAGATAGTCCACCATTGCAGTGTCGACGTGCTTAGAATGCCTGCAGGCGTGCTATTTGATGGGAAAACATTTGATGTGGCATAAGTAAAAGAAGTGATGATGTGATTAATCTTCCATATTTATGATTTCTATTCGTTTTCATTTTGCAGTTCAACTGTTTTCTGCTTATGCCTGTTGTTGACAAGTTGCCTGCACTTCTCCGTGAAGATTTGGACTCTGCATTTGAAGATGTAGATAATGTGTTTGATATCACTACCATGCGACATTCACTTGGACAGAGAAAGCGTGAAACAGAAATTGAGCTCAAACGGGTATATTTTTTTCCCTCTTTTTTCGGGGGTTAATTGTGATTATTTGTTTTTTCCCTTTTTTTTAATCTTGCTATTTTTAAGTGATATGATTTCTGTTTGCAGGTAGAAAAGCTTAAGGAGAAGTTCAGACAAATTCATGTACAACTTTGTTTAAGTCAATCCATGATGAGGCCATGATGATTGTTTATGCTTGTGCGTTGTCCTTTACCTTTTATTTAATCTTCATTTTAATTCACCAAGTCATGCTGTTAGAAAAACTTTCAAATTGAAAAGCAAGCATTTTCATTGCTCATATAAGTTAAATGCTAAATCAACGAGTGAGGGGGATGTCAATATCTTAGGGTTTGATTACGAATGTGAGCTTCAGTTTATTATTTTTCAGAAGGCAGTTAAAAACTCTGCACATGTCTTGTTACTCATTCACGATATATAAAAGTACGTCAACACTTAACAAGAGAAAAAAAGCACAATTTTTGTTTTCCCTTTTTCTGATTAGAGTTCCATCGCCAGGATTCATTTATTTTCACATCCATATAAGATACTGATACTATTATGAAAAATATTAGTGCACCCATATTTATTTTTATTTTTATTTTTTCTACCAGAGAATGTTTTTACTACTATTTCATGCTCAACTGTGAATTCTTGCTTGAAGTTGTGTTTGTCCTAGTCGTATCAAAATTGCAATTTATGCTACAAGTGCTTCGTGCAGTGTACTATTTCGACTGGTCGAGATTCGATTTTCCTTGGTAACGTCACGCTCATGAGACAAGGCTTTTACCTATATTTGGAAGAGGTCGTCAAGCCATCCCAAAATAAAAAGAAATATTTATGATACGATGCCTTATGCGAGAACCGATCCCTAAAATTTTTCCCTTATTGTTTTTGCTGTTGTGTTTTGTTCAATCGACTCACACATTGACTTCATTTTACACGAATGATGTACTGATGTATAATAAAATGCTAAATGTTATGATGAATTATCAGTTATCACTTATGTTTGGTAGGCCTGGTTGGCTCATTTTGTCTTTGCTTGCTGATTTTTCTATTTCACCAAAATCTGTACGAAGATTTAGATATTCTCCAATTTTATTTCACCTCTATTTTTGTAATGGCACTTATTTTTTAGGATTTTATTTGCAATGAAAATGAGTTTCTTTAATAAAAAAAAAAAAAAAAAAAACTTGATGTGAAGATTCCTAATGATACATCTTAAATAAGAATTTAGTATAGCAGACTAACATGTTTAACTAAGTTAATGGGCTCTAATAATCCCTAATGATGACGGAAACTACTTGCTTTAGGTGGTAGTGACCTAATTGTATCTCTATGTATCTTTCTTATTCAATCCACAGAAACTATATTTCCATTAATGGGATCATAACAGAAACAACTTAAATAGATTCAATGAAAAGACCCAGAAAACTAGTTAGGTTAATGATCACAAAAAGTGATGAAGACTACTCCTTTCTACCACTAACTGCAGAATTGAAGTGGGCTCCTAATATAATTTCCAATTCATACTGTACCAAACAATTAATATCATTTCCAATTCCATTACGGCTCCTAATATGACATTGTAATTACTAATTAATTTGGATAAACTCCACCCCACATATATATATGTGTATCTTTCTCCTTCAGCATTCATTAACTTTAGATTACTTTCATGTGGACAATGTTAATAAATTTTCAAGAATCGTAAAAGAATGTAATTAAATATTCTAACCGTTATTCTATTTATGTAAATATAAATTATTCTAACAATAAGTTTGCATTTTATAATTTAAATTTCATTTCTCAGAGTTCACCGACACATCAAAGGACATATGAATGAAGCCCACAATCATCTCACGACTTGTTTTGAATATATTGTAACTTCATTAAAGATAGGTCACAATAAATCAACTTCAACCAATTACATCGTGACCTAATTAAGTTTGGAGTTCATGGTTTGGCACCTTTAGTCTTGGTAATCATTTGATTGTAATGATATAAGATTTATTGGAAAAAACCTAACGTCCATCATCAAATCATATTATTAATCAGTTGCAGATTCGACATCTTGATTCATTCATTTTTTTTTCCTTTTTTTTTTTTGGTTTTTGATTTTTTAAATCGACTTGGTAATTGATAATATTTCATTTCAATCACTCAAGGTCAACTTTTTTTGAATTATCCAATTTAACATACTTGATGATTAGGACTAAAGTAGGCATCTCTAAGTCCAAACTATAACGCCAGCTTTTGAGAAAAAAGCTGGAGCTCGAGCACCTAAACTGTAACTAGATAAATAAGCAACAAAAAATAGGCCTATTGGCCTAAATCGAGCACGAGATCTCAAAAGATGGATCCGAGATTGATTTGGATTAAATTGATTAACATTAAAAACATATCAATCCACTCAGACCTTCTCCAACCGGTGCGCAAAGGCATCTTGAGATGGAATATTTTTCTCCAACCGATCTGCAAACTCAAACGCAAAATGCGTATTTGGTCATTTTCTCTCTCCTCCCAACGCAAATTTGCGTTTTACTGTTGATGAACGCAAAAAAATTAAAATCTTTTCAATATGGTCCTTCAGTCTGATGTTCTTTTATTTTAGTATATAATTGGCTATTTTTTTTTTTTAAGTTTTTTTCCTTTTCTACATCTGTGTTTCGCGAAATGTAGAGTATATATTCCTATGCATTGTTTAGTAATTTTTACATCTACCCATATACATAATACAATTATATATAGTACTTTTTATGTTTTATAGTATCATATATTTACTTATAAGATTTTCTATGTATTTTATTTTGTATGTTTTATACTATTATATATTTTAGTATGTATTTTGATACATATTTTGCATTGGTTTTTTCATTTTTTATTGTCTCATAATAAAATATATAACTAGCAAAAATTTGATTTCTCATTTTGTGCGTTTTAATTTTTAATTTTTAATTTTATTTTTATTTTTTAATGTGCGTTGTAATTTTTAATTTTATCTTGTGTGTTGTAATTTTTAATTTGCGTTGTAATTTTTGTGCGTTGTAATTTTTAATATTATATTTTGTGTTGTAATTTAAAATTTTAATTTTTAATGACTATTTATTTATTCGATTTTATTATGTATATGATTATAACCTTATAATAAATTTATTACATAAAGTACAAATTGAATTGAAAATAATAGTGTGGTTTAATTTGTAAAATTGTAAAATATATAGGTAGTATTGAAAAGTTGTAAAAGTTGATGTAAAAGAGAATATTCCGAGAATATTCTTTTGAGTTGGATAATGGGTTTTTCGATTGGAGATGAATTACTGCAAAATGGGATAGTTACTGCAAAATGGGTTTGAGTATGAAGTATTCGGTTGGAGATGGCCTCATACACAATATTTTAGCGAGAGTTAAATCAAACATCAAACATGGTTTGTCATAGGATTTTCAAACCACTCTGTAAGTTTATTTTATTATAAAAAAATTTCGGACTATAATTGGTGGTGGAAAAAGGAGACTAGATGAAGGCCAAAAACTTGAATATTATGGTTTAATCTTATTTAAGGTTATATTAAGTTCACATATTGTGATTAACAATATTTAAACCAAACCTCAAAAAGGAAGGGTCAAACTGACCAAGACCGAATTAATTGATTTTTTTGTGATGTTGAAATCGAAGTAAGACATGCCCGTTAAAATTGGGATATTGTTAAACATCGCTTTTACAGAAGAAGAAGAAAAAAAAAAAAAAGTTCGGTTTTGCCCATGAAATGGACATACACAAAACAGTACCCACACCAATAGAACCGAACAACACCACAAAGGGCAGCCAATTGAGTGAAGCCTCTGATTTTACGGTGTCTTCCTACTTAGTTTAAAAGGTTTAATTCATAGGTTGTACAAAATAAGCTTTTATTTAGATGATTTTGAATTGTGGTATAAAATGTTCAAAAGGATATTTAATATAAATATAATTTTATGTATATTACGTATACACGGTTCTTTAGTTAATTTATATCACGGATGATGGGTCTACTTCAGATCTGAGATAAACCGGTGGTTGTGAGCTCCGATCTCTTTGAACCGCCTCCAAATCACCTCTAGACCGCAACAAACACCTGCAAGAACTCAACGCCGGAGGTGTTTCCAGCGTAGAGCCTCCGACGCTCAAGTCAGTATGTGAAAGAGATGAGAGATCTGCAGCAGCAGGAAGAGGAAGGAGAAGTGTATAGAATGAATAGATGTTAGGTTTTAGGGTTACCTCAGTCCTTTTATATAGAGACAAATACCTACTTGAAGTACCCAAAATGCCCTGGTCGGTTCGTCTCCCTTCTCCTCCTAGTCAGCTCAAGATTCCTCCTTATCTAATAAAGATTTTCCTCCATTCAGGGGACCTGTTAAGAGACACTGCAAGTGTCCCGAGTCGTCAGAACGTTTTGGTACTCGAGGCGCAAGGAGTCGACCTCGAGCATCAGGAGGTCGACTTATGATCCACATGAGTGTATTTGGAGGCTACGCTTGCTCATCTTCTTGGTAGAGGTCGACTTTTGGGAGTCGACTATGCAAGATGTCGACTTTTAGTGAACCGGCTTCCTCACTTAGGTTATACGTAGAGAAACGTCGAATGTCGGGATGTCGACTTAAGGGTGTCGACATGCGAACGGTTCGACTCGCCCTCTCGGTCGAGTGATAAGTACTTGAACCGGTATATCCTAATATGGCTATATCAACGGAAAAAGAAGAACTCGTAGAACCATTTATTAATCACTACAAAAAAAAATGTCATATTCCAACAAAAAATCCTACGGTAATATATTCTAATGAAAATTTAAATGGATATTCCAATGGTATAGCCTCCGTTAGAATGATTCCAACAAAAATTCTAACGTAATTATTCCGTTGGAATGAATTTTCTATTGGAATTTACATTGAATTTGAACATTCCGATTTTTTACTATAGGAATTTCTGTTGGAATTTTTATTTTCACCTATATTTCAACCGTTGGAAAATGTACTGTTGGAATTGTCAAAATCCAACAGAAATTCCATTGGATAACTCATTCTAACAGAATATTTTTGTTGGAATTTCCGTTGGAATCCATTGAAAAACCCCAATTGAAATAATAGTATTGGAATTGTCGTTGAAATTACTGGAATATATTTCTATTAGAATCTTCCATTAGAATTTCATCATATTTTTGTAGTGAACATTAATAATCGAGCTATTAAATATAACCCATTTTCCCTCAAGAATTGAACTCAACTGGCTAGTTTCGATGTATTACACCTTTCATCTAAATAGTTCTATCTAGATGAGATACCGTTTTGAGAGAGTAAATCGAAATGACATAAAAAAAGATTAAATGTATAAAGTTTATATGGTTGACAATTGAAATTATAGGAGTGAGTCAATAATAAAAGCCATAGCAAATTGTTAATTTTTAGCGAACTTTAATTTTATAGTGAATTAATATGATTGGTGGGTGAAGAAACGAATGTGGGATACTTATACTTTTTTTCTTTTAATTGAAAATCATTGTACAGGATTTTTTTATTTTTTTGATAAATATATACCGGCCACGCAAATAATCTCTTTCCAACTACTTTTGGAGAAACTTAATTTCTATAAGTAAAAAAATACTAATTAAAAATGAATTAGTTGTTTTTTTAACTACTTAGAAAATGTAATATTTTTTAAATTATAAGAAATTGGTCAACTATTGGTTCCGGAAAACTACTTATATATCTCTTAAGAAAAAACAAAGTAAGTTTTAAACATTTAAAAAATATTTTGTTGAGCTTATAAAGTAATTACCTATATTAAGCACAAGCCTATAACGAAAAACGACAATGACGGCGCAAAGAATCTCCTTAAGTTCTAAACATAGTCTTTTTTTTTTCCTGAATAAAAAGACTTGAAATGGAAGACCTTTGCTTATCTCCATGAAATCAATTTCCTCTTGCTTTTAGTCATTATCTCATCAAGTATATGCATTCCCCACCAATAGATTATCAAGGATTTAAAATCCTACGTTTTTTATGCTTGGATTTTAACATTTATTTATTTATTTTTCTATTTTCAAAAATATCGTACCACATCGATGCAC